CTCAAAAATCTTGGTAGACATTGTACTGGGCCACTGGCTGCCTCATCACAGGGGGAGAGGACGAGTGCTGGCCTTGATCAGGGATGATGAACTTCACAGCAAGTGTTACAAGGGCAGAAGGAACTATGCAGTACGGGACTCTTCCGTGACACTGAAGGTGAATGAAACGGCAACGCCTCACTCTGGTGGACCCCGAGCTGTACAAGCTAACACACGCACCCATACTAAATACATGTCGAGCATCATTACCTACGGTCAACAGCTACCAGGAATTTTCAGCTGTCAAGCTAATGACTAGCTAATTTGTATATATTTATAAGAGATAGAAGTTAAGCAAACTATTCTTTACTCCACCAGTCGACCTGATATCGTATGTCAAGGGCAAACGTCCAACCTTTGGCATGTTTGTGGTAGATCCCTCGATGGTCAAGTACAAAAGTTACAAAAGATGGTGCACCTGCAAAATTGATTAATGACCATTTGTACTCGGAACAAAAAAAACAACCTCACACACACACAAAAAATATTTCTTGCTACACCCTTTGAGACAGAATTCTCTGAATTTTAGACTCCTTAGTGGCCAAGCGCAAAGTAACATTCACTTATTTTTTTTTAACATTGATAATTGTTCTTGTATCACTATAACTAAATCTTCTTGTTTATCTCTTTCTTAATTCATTGTTTTCTGTTATGTGCAAATACCAGTGTTAGAATGAAACATGAACACAACAATCTATAAAAGTTACAAGAAAATATAGGGTCTATATATGGTTTAGGATACCTTGCTTTTTACAATTTTGGAATTTTAGATAAAATCTGTAAAATTCATAAATAAGCAACTGAAGTGATTATCCCAATAACTTATTATACTTTTCTAGCATGCACTATGCATAAAATAGGATGAGGCTGGACTAACATTATATTTACTATATGTATAATCATTCACAAGATTATACAACTACCCCTATCTAATATCTGCCTCAACATCGATTTCAGGAAAACAACTGCAAAGAAGTCATGCAAAGATATCTAGACAGACAACTAGCTCACACAAACTTTCTGACAAAATCCCAGTCATTGTCAAAAACTCAAAAGACTTTTAAAACTGAAATGGCACAAAAAGCAGTAAGTAAATTTCATCTCCACTGTATAAAAGTTACTCCTTTATATAATCAACCATAGCTCGTTAAAGCATGGACATAAAAAAAAGAAAGAAAATGGGGCGAAAAAAAAAAATAATAATAAATAAATACATTTAAGGGTGTTACCTGCTTACGATTCCAGTGATTACAGAATAACAAGAAATAATTATACAACAACAACAACAAATCTATGCTAGAAAGAGAGAAATAGATGAAAAAAAAATAATAATAATAATAAAATAAAATTAAATAATAGCAAAAACACCAAACTACAACTTTCCACTGGCCTTACACCACAAAGACTAAAGACATTTCAATACAACTCTGAAGCCCTTCCATTATCACAGTCAAAGCATGTTTTGGAAAATTGAAAACCCTAAGCCATGAAGGGTCATTCATACAACGAGTCAAACTACCAGGTGTGGGAACTTTACACCAAGGCACTTTTGTCAAAATCATGCTTGAGCCGATATCCCAGACCCTTTGTCAATTTGGATTAAATAAATAAAGCTTTATTCCATTTGCAATAATGGTTATTCTTGGTGTAACAGGCTGTGTGTTTATGTTTGTTTTAATGGGTGCAGACATGATTAATAAATTGGCTTCAGTATGCTTCCAGGATATTTATCATCAAATAAGGACCAACATTGCGCTGAAATGTATGCCATGGATGCAGGTTGAACCTTCTGCTGTGATACCATTAGGCATGAAGGCAATCAAGATCAACTTGCATGTTATACACAAAATTAGATAATTCTTGACCACTGGACTGCATCTTCCTAAGAATAAACAGGTTTGGTGTTCCAGTAAAAGTCAATAAATATCTATGCCAATATTCTGTAGGATATAGCTTAGTCACTTATTTGATGGCAAACCACGCGGATGGTTTACAAGCTCTTTCTTGCCAGAATATACTACAGATGATGAGAAACTGTTGAGTTTATGGCTATAGAGACACTGCAGGAGTATCTTTGAAGAGCACTTGTGGGCTCACCTTCACTTTCTGCAGATTGTTTTCTACTGCTAGCACTGCTGCTTTGTGTGTGCTCTAACCCCTAGAGACTACCAGAGCTAGATGTTGCCTGCTATAATATTACCCCCTTTCTTCCGCTCACCATCCCCTGATTTCTCCATTTTTTCTATGCCTCACTGTAACTCTACAAAGATTTGTAGCTCTGCATATAATTTATCTTCATGAGATAATTTTAAAACTCCAAAGACCAAATAAACCCTTTCTCTCTCCTTTCCTTACCTGAATATGACAACACAACACAATCATGCACAGAAAATCACAAGAGCGAGAAGGGCTGCAAGTCCTGCTATACGTTTAGGACTCCCCTGCCCAATGCCTGGAAGGT